CCCCCCCCCCCACACACCCTATATTTGTGTTGATTACAATTGGGTAAATATTTTGAATAAGAGTGGAGTGTACAAGAGAGTTCAAATCTAGCAATTGTCAGGTTGCCGCAAAAAGACGACCTGACAAGAAGTAGTTTTTAGCGATAAGGAAAAAACGTCGTGATTAGGAAATAGGTAAAAAATAATGCTTTCGGGGAGATGGAGGTACACCAAGTAGGTAGTAGGACCGGCCGATGTCAACTTTTCATATTTTAAATGCCCTAATAGCCTGCCTTTAGCGAAATTGACGTTACAACTTGAATTGTCTGCGAATTTACGAATTCAAATTATGACTATCATGATAGGAGCAAATAATTGCAAAATTGAACTATTTCGAATGCATAGTATGAGAAAACATCAAGTAAGAGTCATATAAGACTTGAGAAGTCTAGTTTGAAATGATTTTTGGAGTCCGTGGTAGTAAAAGTCAGCAAGGATATTAAGGTGGATGAACACAATAATTCCTCGTCTTATGATTTACATTAGTTAAAAAATGGCTTTAACACTACGATGGTATTGACACAACAGACTCAAAACATTTTGCTGTGAGTAGGCACTCTCTCGCTAACTAACAATAGAGCGTAGGGCTATTGGAGCCACATGAGACATAAATTAAATTTCCTTCCTGTTCATAGAAGTAAATTACGATAAGCCTGCAGTTACTAATTATTTGATGACTATAAATGCACATTAGAAACAGCATCCGGATAGATAAAGAGGTAACTGGATTATTTATTTATATGGTGAAATATATGGTATGAAATATTTTTACGTAAAAGCTAATAGCAATAGTCAAAGCTGGATCTATTAAGAAACTAGGTTTTCACTGAATTTAAAATTTACTTTACTATCTATTCTATCAAATTTCTTCAGTAATGATCCCAATCCAAGGTCCCATCTGAGCTTAACACAATATTATATATATATATAGACAAGTGTTTGCGCTTTTGGTAAAATGGCCATAATGAGAGTAAACTAAGCCTACCTGTATTTGTTCAAAGGGCACCTCAAAAGCGAAAGATTCGTTGTAGTATGGATTGAGAGTACACTTCTTTATAGTAGTCTTCTTCTTTTTGATTCGCTTCCCATTGAGCATAAGAGAAAGCTTTACATATGGATCTAAAATGGGGAAAAATGAGGGGGAACTCATTACTGTATGTATAAATCATCTGAGAGTATATTGGTATTTTCCCTGTATATAAATAATCTGGAAGAAAATCTGCAGTTGGATGAAATTGTTTTGGGAATTAAAAAATTGTCAGTATTTTACGCATATAGCTTCATCTATTTTTGGTATAATTAGATTTCATGACCACCAGTAAGTTTTGAATAGGAACTTATTCTAGGTCACTCACGGAAACTTGAGAAATGATAGGTATGAAGACGAAGATGATGTGGCCTTTTGTTTGGTCGCAGTCTCTTTTCGTTGTATAGAAGTTGTTTGACCTTGTTTTCGCAACTTAGTCATATTAGTAGGAAGACTTAGAGGAATGCACCTAGTCCGGAGTCCATTGTATGCATGATTATTTCCAAAGTCGGACCGTGGACGTGGTACATGACCAGACGTTTCACCGGCATGATAAGTGAGTCTTGCCATTCTTAGCACCATACAACAACTCGTCAAAGAGACAAGTGAAGCCAATCCTTTGACCAAATCTGTGCTAAGCAGTTGTGGTACCTCTCATTCTGTTATGGGCTATTCACCTATCCTATATCCTCGTATCACGCCTTCACTATCACAATTTTTTCCTTGCTTATATATAGTAGATCTAGTGTGGTGTGTCCTTTTGAGCAGCTTTCATGAGAACAATCTGCATTCCACGCTGACACTCTCACCCCCCTTCACCCTTGTTCTGGGAATGTTAATCAGAGTCTGTCATATTGTCACACAGCTGTGGTACTGCTTGCCTTGATTAGATTCAATGTTGAACCACAACGTTTGTGGGTTTGCACACAAGAAACTAGGGCATAGCAAGTGATAGACTTTGTATTACAGATAGAAACAGAATAGACGCGGCAGAGACTGGAGCTAGTTGACTGATCTTGGGTTTTACCAGAGACATAGTCCAAGTAGCAATGGCTTGACCAGGAGACTTACTCAGAGCCTTTAGCTTCGAATGAGTCACTCAGACGCAAGGGATGGGTAATAACGCCTCGAGTAGCACATATGGGATGGCAGGGGTCGAGTGAACTACTTCAACCAGGGAGATA